AAAGCTTTGGACAAAGTGCCCCATGAAGTTTGGATTACCAAGATAACTAGGTGTGGAACGGATGGAACAAATGTCACATGGATACACAGTTGGCTACAGAATCATACTCAGAGGGTGGTGATTAATGGTTCCTTCTCAAACTGGGAGGAGGTAACAAGTGGGGTACCACAAGGCTTGGGCCTAGTGTTCTTCAGCATTTTTATTAATGACCTGGATCGGGAGATGCAGGGACTGCTAATTAAATTTGTGGATTACAGAAAATTGGGTGGAATAGCTAATATCTTGGAAGACAAAATTAAAAATGATCTAGATAGGCAAGAGCACTGGGCTGAAAACAACAGAATTAAATTCAACAGGGGTAAGTGCAAAGTAGTGTACCTCAGAAAAATAAATGAAACACACTGTTACAACATGGGGGATACCTGGCTCAGTAATACTACGAGTAAGAACATCTTGGAATGATAATAGATTACAATCTGAATATAAGCCAACAGTGTGCTGTGGCTACAAAAAAGGCAAATGACATTTTAGGCTGCATTTATAGAAGTATAGTCTCCACATCCCATGAGGTACTCATCCCCCTCTATTCAGCACTGGTAAGCCATCATCTTGAGCACCGTGTCCAGTTTCAGACACCACACTTCAAGAAGGAAGTTGATAAATTGGAATAAGTTCAGAGGAGGGCATCCAGGATGATCAGGGGACTGGAAACAAAGTCCTGTGAGGAAAGACTGAAAGAACTGGGCATGTTTAGCCTTGAAAAGAAGATTGAGAGGAGATCTGATAGCACTTTTTGAATACTTGAAAGGCTGTCATACAGAGGAGGAGCAGGACTTGTTCTCAATCAACCCAGAGTGCAGGACATGCAACAATGGGCTAAAGTTATAGGAAATCAGATTTTGGTTGAATATCAGGAAAACTTCCTGTGATGTTTTCCTCATGGGCCTGCTTGTTTCACCAAACCAAGGGCTAGCACTATGTAACCCACAAGCTGACACCAATTTGTCACGATACCCATGTGTCCCATTTATTATTCCCTCACAAAGGCACTTGTTGTGTTCTCTTTTCGCTGCCACCAGTGGATTACTTCAGTCCACAATATAAAATGACGTATGTCAGAACACTTGTCTTGCGAACAGCAATGTGAGAAGGGAAGCGAGGGAAAGAAGCCCCTCTCTGGAGTGCCGTCGCTTCCACCAACTACAGAAAGGGAGGTACAGACCTCACCCATTCCGTCCCCGGTTACAAAAGAACAAAGGGGTACCGATACCCGGGATTTAGAAGTCAAAATGTGTGTTAACAGTAGCTGTTCAAACAGAACATTTGGTGGGAACGGGTAGGAAAAAGAGGGTGGAGATTGAGGCAGGGATGGCAGAGATAAAAAGAGAAGAGAGGGGATTACCCCCAGGTTCAGAATGGATCTGAACACAAGATCCCTGGACCAGAGAGTGGGAAAGACTCCGGGTGCCCAGGGAGGAAGCGGACTACTGATGGAGACGGGAGATTCCCCCGTGTCCGCCCTACTAGGGTGAGGCAGAGGCTCGCGGGTGGAGGAGGCGACTGAGAGAAGAGAAAGAAAAGGTAGAAAGGGGAAAGCAAGAGAGATTGAGATGGAGAGTAGAGGAAGTACAGAGGAGGGAGGTGCAATGAGACCCTGGACACTGTTCCCTGGAACCCGAGATGCCAAGCAGGAAGGAGCCAGTGAGGACGAGACCATTCCCCTACTGGAAGGAGAGGAGGTCAAGGTACTAAAAGAGGATCCTCTCTGTGGCTGGCCAGGTCCCTGGGATCCTGAAGAAACAAACCCGTTTTTGGTTAATGCAAAAAGACCCTTGTCGGACCCATTGGCGGCAGAAGAAAAGTTATGGGACAATTTCATAGATAAAGAATTCTTGTTAAATACAAGAAACAAACCTTTCCCCTGTTACAAAGTTACCGAAGGATGTTTTTGTAGAGATCTATATTTCAAAAATTGAACCTTCACATATAACAGAACTTATTTATTGAAGTGAAGCAGAATGAGTAATAACAAGTTTTTTAGATATTCAGTATACATAAGCAATTCATCCAGTTCCCTCAGCATATATTTCTTTTTGCTTGCAATTTCATACCACCTTCTCTATTTTTCTAACCATCCCTCTCTGAATGACTAATCCTAACTATCTGACTAACCAGCCCCATCTCTACTCCTTCTCCAGCCAAGCCTCATGTAGCTGCTGACTCCGCCTCTCCAACCCTCTCATAGGTTCATGCAAATCAGCTCATGAATATGAGTGACATGAGTGAAGTGGACTGTCACCAAACTTCCTAACTTTTAAAGCAGTACGAGGTGGTGAGTGCTCCAATACTGGAGGCATTCAAGAGGAATGCAGACAACCACCTGGCAGGTCTGCTTTGATTTGTATTACTACATTGAGCAAGGGGTGGAACTCAATAGCCTTATAAGCCCCTTCCAACTTCACTGTTCTGTGCACCTGTTTTGGCAATACTACTGCCAAGCAATGTTGCAGCAATCAAGTCAAATAATTGTGTTCTTTATGGCTGAACATTTTAGTAAACCTGGTGGATTTCTAGCACTGAAAATCCTAGATCCCAATCGAGAATGAAACAGCACTTGTGATTTTATCAAAGTTTAATAAAAAAGAGATTTAGGACAAAAATGTTTTCTCCTCATCTGCTGTAGTTGTGCAAACGGGCACAATTATGCCACCATACAAATTCTAACTCTGTTATTACTTAAAACATAGGATAGCTCTAGCATTCACAAGACATTCTAGTCTTCCTTCATGTTGTAAAAATGTGATTTGAGTTCCTAGTCTCATTCTGTCTTAAAGTCATTGTATCCTTCCATGAAAAGCAGTAGGTCACCTATATGTAACTGCTGTCAATGCAAGAAAAATGCCTTGATCAGCAAGGCACAGGAGAAAATAAAAACTCCCAAAATCTAAAGATGATCAGATTGCTAGACCAGCAATTAAAATGGTAACAAAAATGCAGCCTTTTTATTAACTCCATGCAGTCAATTCTGACTTATGACAACCCCTCCCAAGGTTTTCTAGATAAAGAATACACAGAAGTTGTTTACTATTCCCTTTTTCTGGGGGTGTCATGGAATTGTGCAGCTAGTAAGGGAAATATCAGTGATTTCAATGGGAGCTGAGTTCTGATCTTTCCCTTGGCACTAGACATGGCCTAAACATAGGATAATGCTGAAGAATAAAGATCATACAGCACAGAACTTAAGATGGTTGTTTTCTATCCTAATTTTTCCCTTGGACCATATCTGATGCTGTTAACAACAAATAGGAAGACCCTACTTATACTGTAGAGCAAAAAATGAATTATGCCCATAGTATAATACTAATATGTATTTACAATTCTGTAGCTTCTAATCTTGATTCTCATGTGTGGCATCCAGAATCATACATCCAGCAGTCACTATAGATAGACCCACTGGGTCTCCAAGACATGTGTTGCAGAATATAATTTTCCAAGTTCTTATCTTTTTCAGAAAATAGAAACCATTCCTATGGAGTAATAAATAATAATGAAGTGCCATCAAGTATATTTTGACTTATGGCAACCCTTTTCAGAATTTTTGAGGCAGAGAATACTGAGGAGTGGTTTACCATTCCCTTCTTCTGGAGGAACCCTGGAATTGACTTCTTTCATTAGCAAGTGGATCTAAGCCTGGAGGAAAATGTGAATGAAAAATGCATCTCTCACCATCCTATAACATCAGAAGATGTGTCAATTTTGAGAAGAATTACCACACACAATGTATTATTATTATTATTATTATTATGATGATGATGATGATGATGATGATGATGATGATGATGATGATGCATTTCTCCCAACAAGGGACCCAAATAATAATCATGAAAGAGCAATAAATATACAAATGAGAAACAATGGAGTCCATGCCTCTAAAGTGTTTCCCCTCTAGTCCCAGGACCACCTTCCAATTGGGGGTGACCAAGAGTTATATATTGTCAATTTATATTTAAGAGTCACCTCATACACTGATCTTGGGAGGGAAGACGTGGAGCCGTCCTTTAGCCACAACGCTCTGCCTTGGTCCAGAGACACTCTCTTTACCTACCTACCCCACAGGGCTGTTGTGAGAATTTTAAAAAGGGGGAGACAATTTGGACGTGTGCTGTGAGCTCCGTGGTGGTGCAGGATATGAATTATACTATTCGTTATAATAACGATCAGTGGAAGTAGAATCAATTCCAGCAGGACGCAGTCCTGGGAGATTACAGTACTCTCTCGGACTAGGGTTGGGTAAACTCGGGTTCAGATTCCTGCTTGCACGACCCAGGCCCCAACAGCCTAACCTCCTTCGCAAGCCGGTCGTGAAGGGAAACCGCCTTCGCCATTTTGAGCTCCTCGGAGGAAAGGAATAAATGCACAAGATACACAGACGTTCTTTTGGTCAGGATCGCGCATCGACGCTCACTTCCAGGTCATGGCTACTCGCTGCTGCACCCCCTTCTGCTACACTATTTTTACACGAACTCAAGCAGCATCTGCAAATAATCTCTAACTTGCAAATTTTACATCCTCATGCTTGGGATAAAACTCCCATGATTTTGGAGTAATCACGCATAAACTCCGGCAGCATACAATGCCAAGGGCATGCCTTCGACGAACGAACGAACAACGCCCCCCCCCGCACTCCTGTTCCCATCCCCCAACTCATTCCGTTGCAGACACCCCACCCCCCAGTAAAGCCAACCTTAGCATTACACAGAACCGCCCAGCTCTGCGCATGCGCCAAAAGACATGCCTTTGCCGGGTTCCCGCCTGCCGCGGAGACCACGCCCTAACTCAGAAGCGCGGATCTCCGAGATCCCGCCCTCGGCTCCAGAGAAAAATTTTCATTGGACCGAGCGCTTGTCGCTCGGCAAATCCTTCCCACTCTGATTGGCGAAAGGTCGCGTGAGGGAAGGGTGAGGAGGAGTTACACCGGCTATATAAGCTCAGCGAGTCCTCCATTGCTATTGTGACTCCGTTGCCATTTGTTCGTGCTCGTTGCGGGTATTCTTTTATCTTCCTTTTTACGCGACCCAGTCCCACCATGTCGAATCCCATCGTGTACTTCGATATCGCCGCCGATGGCGAGCCCGTGGGGCGCGTAAAGTTTGAGGTACGAGGGCGGGAACGATTGTGGGGGGAAGGGAAAAGCCGGGTCTGAGGGTGGCTGCATAGCCGCCATTTCCTGCCAGGGAGGGATTGCGGGGCCATTTTGGGATCTCCCTCATTGTATGGAAGTGGCGGGAAGGGGATGGGAGAGAAACAGGAAGGCTGGGGAAGTCTCCTCACTGCAGAGCGCTTGAAGGGTTGCGCGCGCACCTGGGCGTGGGGGGGAGGGGGGAAGGCGTTTGCGCCTCAGGGCGAGGGAAGGCGGGCGGGCGTCGCCGTCTCCACATGGCCTCTGCCGTCTCCTCTGGGGAAGCGCGGCCGCTGTTGCTTCCTTAACCGCTGGTGCTGGAGTTTGCCTTTCTGCAGCCAAAGCAACACCTGTGGCCCCGACAGGCGCAATTTTGTGTTTCGCCCGCGCCCCGCCCGCTTTTATTGCAGTGGAGAAGGAGGGCAGTACGTGCGCGACGGGGAGACGTGGGCTGCGGCTCTTGAGTTTCACAGAAAGTGGAGATTTGTCTGAAGTAGGAATGATCTTAGGGGCAAACTGCTTAGAATCGTCCTCTTCTTTTCCCTCCGACGGCAAGTAAAGGAGGAATAAAGCGGTTTTCTGATCGATCGCTTTTCACAATTGCAGAGGTTCACATACGTCTATACGGGCCTGGCTGTAGGTGGAGGATTTAGGGTGGTTCCCTGAAGCTTGCCACCGTTTTCAGAAACTGCTGCGGATACGTAACGCAGACTTTTAGTTTGCTTTTTTACTATGTTTACACGGTCGTACAGAATTGCAGTAAGCTTTTAATCTGCTAAAACACGAAGTCGAGGGTACAACTGGTTTTTTTGTTGTCCTGCTTTTTAGTTATTTAGTTACCATATTTATGCACGCCCAAGCCTCATCTCAAGACAAGTGTTCACTTTTCTGCTTCTCGAAGTATCTAGAAATTAGGAACATGGCCATTTTGATGGTTATTTTCCTTGCTGTGGGTCTTTAGGAGCCTGTATAACCAGTTTAAGTATTCTGGTGCAGGATTTCAAATGTGCTGAATAGTTCCACCAGAAAGTAGGCCACTGCTTCCAGTCCACTTTCAAAGATGGCATACTTGATTAAAAATTATTTAATATAAGAAATGAAATATTTTTCATTGGAGCCAGAAATGAATCTGAATAAATTATGTTGGAATTCCAGGAAGTGGCTGAAGCAAGTTGCCTGCTTTAATTCAACTGGATGGCTCCTTTGAGTCATTAGTGGATGGCTAAGGAAGCAGGAGTGTGTAATAGACAGGTACCAGATAGTGCTCCTGTAACTTAATTCATTTTGCTTGATTTCTCCTTTTTTGTAGTAGGTTGCTTACTTCCTTGTTCAAGGAACGTATTTCCTAGAGCTTTTTCAAGAGTGTGGGCCTGATCCACAACCAACTTTTACCAGTCTTATGTTCTTTAACTCGTATTTTAGCAATGTTCAGTTAGTCATTAATTTGTCCATTCAAAACTCATGGGACATCTGAGAGAACTTTGGCAATAGGTGCCTTTCCAAATAGGAAAAATGGGTGATACTGACCATGTGCCAGTTAATACAGAACAAATTGCTGCAGTATTCTCCCTATACTGCAGCAATGCCTATGATATTTGCTCATGCTAAATAGGTAAAAATCATGTACCACAAAGTTTAAGCTTGTCTAATGGAAAGGGGAGTATTCAGACAGGGGTGTGCACAGTTATATTCTTAAACTTGTATGACTTTGAATGAACTTTATTTTTTTTAAATCCCACAGCTGTTTGCAGATAAAGTTCCAAAGACAGCAGGTTTGTAAACTTGAATTCCTTTATGTTTAAGCACAGTAGCTTGAAATGATACTGCTATCAAGTCTAAGCAAATGTTCTGACAAATGTCTGCCTGCCTCTTATTTCAGAGAACTTCCGTGCTTTGAGCACTGGGGAAAAAGGCTTTGGTTATAAGGGGTCCTGTTTCCACCGAATCATTCCTGGATTCATGTGCCAGGTACATACTTGTTTATTGAGCTGCTTCTTAAATAGTGTCTGCGTTGATTTACCTATGCTTAAATATTATGTAATATAAATTAAAATATGTCAAGATTTCAGGTGTACATTATCTCCTCTTACAGGGTGGTGACTTCACTCGCCATAACGGAACAGGGGGTAGATCAATTTATGGTGAGAAGTTCCCTGATGAGAACTTCCTCCTCACGCACACAGGCCCAGGAATCTTGTCTATGGCAAATGCTGGTCCTGATACAAATGGGTCTCAATTCTTCATCTGCACTGCCAAAACTGATTGGTAGGTACTTGACGTCAGATTTGACAGTGTTCACTTTTTGACACGTTTCCTTTGTATTTTTGAGAAGTCTTTATCTCCAATCTGTGCTGTTATCACCTAACTACCTTTTAATGGAACAGTTTGAGACAACCTGAGAAAGCTTAGGAAAAATTGAAATCAAGGTGACAGGTGTTTTTAATCAATATTTTCTTAAAACCTCATTTCTCCTTTGGCATTACTTCATTCCTCCTTTGGCATTTCAAGGTAGGATCTTTCTCATGTAATTGTTGCCTGCTTCATCTGGTCTGAAATCTTAACGGTAACAGAGTAGTACTTCTAAAGAAGCCTTGTGGGGTCACAAGCTAGATTAACAAACATACTCTGTTATGTCCTAATCTGTGTTTCTAGGTTGGATGGGAAACATGTGGTCTTTGGCCATGTCATAGAGGGAATGAATGTTGTGGAAGCAATGGAGCGCTTTGGATCAAAAAATGGCAAGACAAGCAAGAAGATCACCATCTCTGATTGTGGGCAGCTGTCATAAAAATTCCTTTCTCTTAACAATCAATCATTCCTTCTGTAGCTGGGGTCAGTCCCCTGTAATCTTTGTGCTTCTGACTTACTGCTGCTTTTCTATTGGGTTTCAATTCCTCCTTCACAAGTCCAGCTGGACTGAAGACAACTTTGTTTGCAAAATGAAATAAAATGATTTAAACCACATACTAGTTTGTTTTCTCTTGCCAGGGAGTGGTATATAGGCACATAGGTCCTGATCTCAAATGGTGGCAGTGCCAGTATTTAATTTCTAACACAGTTAAAAATTCTGGAGGGTCTGTGTTATAACAGAGTCCTTGCTATTACCTTCAGGTTCCTCAAAAGTCAGTAGAGGTGAAACAAATAATGGCATCAGTAAAGAAAGGAGGACTACCTTCTAGATAGCTATTGAAGAAAGCTCCAGATGGTTGTTGGAGCACAAAAGTTTGGCTGTAGCTGTGTGATCACACAAAAACTGTTTGTAAAGAGAAATGAATAAGAGACCACAACGTCAGAACAAAGTTCCAGTCAACTGTTGCAAACGTTCTACCTTTTCAAGAGCAAGGGCAGGTAATAACTTCTGCTAAAAATACTGCAAATGCTGGCTTTTGGCCTATATTAGTCTTCATTAGGCTGTGCACGTGTATATTGTGGATTATACAGAAAGAACACAAAAGTGTTCTTTCTGTATAATCCACAGATGGCAGATGTTTGTGCAAAGTCTTAAAAGTGAATGCTAAAACGACCTCACATGTACATCTGCTATGACTTCTAGAACTATTTGTTTTTCCCTGCATCATCATACTGGTGCATAGGCCAATGAAGACAAGTATAGGTGGAAAGCTATTTGCTCTCTTGACTTTTTGAAGAGAAGCCCAAGAGCAGAGTGGATTAAGAGGCCATACAGGTTGATCATTAAAACTTTAGAAGTGGAAAAAACTTAATATATGAATTTAATTTTTTTAACAATGCTTATTGGACATAACTTCCACAAATTGATGGCAATTCTGCAGTTCTACTTCAATAGAGAAACTAATTGCCTTTTACAACTTGATAGATGTGCCACATGGTTGTGCTAATTCTGAAACTAACCACTATATACTTCAATGTGCTCACCAAAATCAGTATTTTATTTCTCCCAGTCCTGCAGTTGTCAAGTGTAGGCCAAACTCTTGAATCAATTTACTTGCTGTTGATTAGTTTTAGCTGAGACAGCAAATGTAAAATATACAGCTGTCTTCAACCAGAGCTATTTTGAATGTAGTGCTCAGTTATCTGAAATAATTCTGTAGCACACTGAAGTTCAGGTCTGCTCTGCTGAAAAAAATAGCATTTTGATGTCCTGATATGAAGTTCATGGCATTACCTCCGTTACTAATTTCTGACCAAGTCACTTGTGCTTCCCCAAGCTTCCTTCACTGAAGATACCTAAAGTGGACCTAGAAAAACAATTATATTTGAGTTTGAGCAAATGCTACTAAATTCATTTATAGTTATAAATTATAACTCCTAACATCCACAACAAAGCTCTCCTTCAACGACATGTTTAAAATATTTTTCCTGTCACCTTAACTGTCCAGCTTTCATATCCAGCTTTCACGGTGATCAGAAATACAAGAGAGTGATGGCCTATGCAGTTTTAAAGCAGACAATATGAGTGTTGGAAGCAGTCACATAATTGGCAGCTTTTGTTCTTGGTGGTTTAAAAAGATTCTAAACCATGCTACAAAGGCACTTGAGAACAGCCTCAAGAGAACTGGATTTGTCTCCCAGGCATGTAACATCAATTTTTGTACTCTCGTCTGTTTTGCACAATAAATTAAGGGGTTGTGTTGAGCTTGAAGTGGGTTTTTCATCAAACCTTGCAATTTGTATGATTTTACAGGGTCCAGTAAAAGGGATCACCCACCCTTAAATCTTGGGGAGCCTTACTCTTTTTAAATCAGTGAGTCATTTCCAGATACAACTGCTACTAGTTGCCTACTGCTACAGGCATTAATTTACTGTATAAGTATGCATTATTGGTGGTTTTTTGCTTGAGAAGTTAGACATGGGCACAATTATGGGAGCTTGAGTATTTTTGTCGAGACCAATCCAACTGCACATGAGACCATTGGTTGATACCAGCTGTCCATAAGAGGTAAGGTTTGCCTGCTTTTGAGATTTTCGTCTTGCCCATGTGAGTGCCCTGTAAAATTCAGATGAATTTTGTATTACTGCAACACACCTGCAATTACATATTTATAAAGTTAGTCTAAGGTGTCACCACATTTTTGTCTCTATACTTGTCTACCTATAATGCTTGAACAGATTTAACAGCACCTCTTCTGCAACTACATGGTGTTAGTGGGTGATCAACGTTGGCAAGACAGATCAGCCTGTTCATCATATACAGTACATAGAATTCTAGTGCATTATCGTGCTGGAGACAATTCTCTCAAAAAGTGACAAAGTTTCAAGTATTCAGTCTCTTGTTACCGTGGCATGTATAAGAAGAGTGTCTAGTACATGTGTGGAACCTGGCATCCCCAACTACAGTAAGCAGCAGTTAGGATGACAGTTCTAATTCTCCAGCATAGGGGGATGGTTGGAAATGATTTACAAGCCCTTTATCTTCTGTTTTAAGATGTTGGGTACTTTCCTTCAGATTGTAAAAATAATATAAGGAGATGAGCAAATGTTAGCTAATGCTATGCTGAAAACTACTATAACTAGTATTTGGCCAATTTTCAATCCGTGTTAAACCTATTCAACCAGGATATTATAAATCTAAATGCTTTAACTTCAATATCATAATTGGATTAGATAAATCAATATATTCCAACATTTTACATTGTGCTTTTCTATGAGCTTGCTTCCTTAATCTCCCTGTTGATCTGCCTTTGCTTTCCGGAGCAACTTGAATATTGGTGTTACATTTATATCTGATTTCTTGATTATGAACAGCAGTTTTTATTGCAAAGGGATTCCAAGCGCCCTCTTTAGAAGGGAGCTATTTTCCACAATATTAGCATTTGTTGGATAACAGTAGCTTCTGCAGGTTAAAAAGTGTCTAAATAACAAGGTACATTGCAATGTCTGAAGCTTTTCAGGGGGGGTGGGGTACCGTTGCCATTACACAACATCAGAGATTTCTGTCCTGCCTGTTTAAGAGGGAGTGTTAGAAGGAAGACACTGCTGTGTTGATTACATCATCTGCTGATTCGGCTGCCCCAAGAACCGGCTTTGGATGATTTGCAGAAAAAATGCTGTTCTGTATACAGTAAAATCAAGGTTTCATTTTGCTTTAGACTCTACAGCATATTGCTTGAATCTTGCTCTAATAAACTATGCAGTCTTTCAATCTGCAGTGATTCGTGATCACTCAAGTTCATGATTGATTAATTGATTGATCTGATTTGATTCATATACTGCCCCATTAGTGGAAACACTACTTAGGGTGGTTTATTAAAACATAGAAACCCCACAGACCTCATAACTGCTTCTAGAGTAAGCAGGATGCCTTGGAAAATCAAGGAATGCCTTAGAGAGCAAGAGCAACCACTTCAGTTATGCCAAATAATGTTAGATTTAAGAATAATTTCTCTTCTAATACTAAGTGTCTCCCTTTAAAACACATTTTCTGAAAGGTAACAGGTGGTATGATCTTTTAAAAAGCACAGCATATAACCCTAAGGCTGTAAAGTACACATTTTTAAAAATGCATTCCAGAAAATGTAGAAAAGTACCCTAGCTGCAAATCTTGCTTTGGAAACCCATACCTTACCCTATGAAAAATTTTAGAGCTCATGTAATTACTTCAGTATCCTATTATCAATGCAATTATGGCAAACAAGCAATTTACCTGCTCTTTGTTTAATCTTCAGCTCAACTGATGCATTTCAAAAAATAAGTTTTTTTATAAATTTTTAAAAAATACAATTTATTTTAAAAAGTCACTCTGAGAAATGGAAAACACAAATGAAAAACAAGTAGTATTAAAAACAGTCAAAGCAGTAATGCATAACTGTCCATCCAAAAATCCCAGTCAGATAGGCAGCCAGTCACTCAGTGAAAGCTTGCCTAAAGAAAGGTCTTCACCTACTTGCAGAAGGACAGCAAAGGTGGGGCTAGCCTGGTCTCCTGTAGGAGGGAGTTCCAAAGTCTGGGAGCAGCAACAGAGAGGGCCCTCTCCTGTACAGTATCTCCATCAGACACATCTGTGAAGGTGGTGGGACCAAAAGAAAGGCCTCTCCTGATGATCGTAACACCCAAGCCAGCTCATAATGGGAGATACAGTCTTTGAGACAGCTTGGACTCAGGTCGTTTAGGGCTTTACCCGCACTTTGAATTTTGCCCAATAACTGATAAGGACCCAGTAGAGCTGCTGTAACAGAGGTTATGTGATCTCTGTAACCAGCGCCAGTCAGCAATCTGGCTGCAGCGTTTGGACCCACTGAAGTTTCCTGACACTTTCCATCTACAAGATGGAAATAGTGTGTCTTACAATAATCCAGCTGGGAAGTAACTAGGGTGTGTAACACAGTGGCCAGATCAGGTATCTCAAGAAACAGGTAACTGGCTCACTAGTTTTAATTATGCAAATGCACTCCTCTCTACCACCAAGACCTGAGCATCCAGGCTCAGGGATGAATCCAGGAGCAACCCCAAGCTGCACACCTATTTTTTAAGTAGGAGTGTAATCCCACCCAATATAGACTGCATCCCTATTTCTTGATCTCCCTTTCAGCTGACCAGGAGCACCACTGTCTTGTCTGGATTAAGTTTCCATCTATTCACCTGCATCCAGTCCATTCCTGATACCAGACACTGATTTAGAGTCAAAACAGCTTCCTCCGATTTAGGTGGCAAGGAGAGGTAGAGTTGAGTGTTATCCACATAGGGATGACACCAAACCACAAAACTCTGGATAATCTCTCTCAGTGGTTTCATGTAGATGTTAAATAACACGGGAGACAACAGAGCCCTGACAGGTCAATGGCCAGGGTGTTGGACATGAATTCCCCCAGCACCACCTTCTGAGTTCTCTCCTCCAAGAAGGGCTGGAGCCACCGCACAGGAGGCCTGGGGGCCTCTCAAAACATATTTTTATTTTGAGATGTATCCATGACTTGAAAGTCACTAAAACGTCTTTCAGTTATATTCGTCAGTGTCATCACGTTGGACAAACGTAGATCCATGAAATT